CATATATGACATCATAACAACAGTCTGGACCACTGGACGGGTTCCGCAGGATTGGAAGGATGCCCTTGTGGTCCCCCTCTTTAAGAAGGGGGACCGCACAGACTGTAACAACTACAGGGGCATTTCACTCCTCAGTGTGCCTGGAAAGGTCCTGGCAAGGATTATTCAACATCGCCTTGCCAGGCACGCTGAGGCGAGGCTTGCGGAGCCCCAATGCGGTTTCAGGAAAGGGCGGTCCTGCACAGATGCCATATTTTCTGTCCGTCTGCTACAGCAGAGGTGTAGGGAATTCCAGCAAGACCTACATCTCTGCTTTATTGACCTGGTCAAGGGCTATGATACCATCAGTAGACCTGGGCTCTGGGTTGTTCTTCGTGCTTTTGGAGTACCTGACCCTCTGCTCACGATCATTAAGGACCTTCATGATGGTGAGCGGGCCCGGGTAAAACTACGTGGCCGGGAGTCAGAGCCATTTCCTGTACACCTTGGGGTGCGACAGGGATGTCCTCTGGCTCCCACATTATTTAACCTCTATTTTGACCACGTAGTTCGTGAAGCCTTCAATAGCTGTACTGGGGGAATCTCCATATGGTACAGATATAATGGGAGGCTGATCGATGCCCGGGTGTGGTCAAGGGATGGCTCCCTATTGCTCAACCACGTTATGTATGCCGATGATTTGGTAATAGCTGCTCATTCAGAGGAGGAGTTGGAGATGCTGCTGCTGAGACTGGAGCGTGTCACTAAGAGATGGGGCCTTACCATCAGCCCCACCAAACTAAGCACCTGCCTGGGTATTTTGTACCATCGGACACTCCACCCCCACAACTCCCAATCGGTGATGGGGCAGTTGTGGAGAAAGTGGAGAGTTTCCCATACCTGGGCAGTGTGCTTATGACCGGCTCCAGTTTAACAGCAGAGGTCTCACTCAAATCACTCGAGCGGCAATATCTTTTCATCGGTTGCGTAACGCTGTGTGGAAGCTACCTGGTCTGTCGCTCCGCACTAAGCTTCAGGTCTTCTCGGCCACGGTCATTCCCTCCCTTCTCTACGCTTGCGAAACGTGGACCCCCCTAATAGAACATCTTCGCCGGTTAGAAACATTTAGGCTGGCCTGCCTACGATCCATCCTGGGTTTAACCAGGCTGGATTGTGTGACGAGCTCACAAATCCTTGAAAGATCTGGGCACGGTCCCATCGGTGAGCTCCTCCGGCAGGCAAAGCTGCGTTGGCTAGGTCATGTAGCCCGCATACCCAGCCACCGCATGCCAAAACAGCTTTTGTTCGGCCGGATCGAGGGGGCTAAACGGGCGCGGCACGGGCTGGAGAAGAGATGGAGTGATGTGGTACAGGAGGACGTGGAGCTGAGTGGACTTGCAGATGACTGGTACCAGCGGTGTCAAGATCGGACTCTGTGGAGGAGGCTCGTGAAGGACGCTACTGGGCAGTTGGAGGCAGTCGCCCTCCAACAACAACGGAGGGCGGAGGAGCGACGCTCACAACAACGAGTGGAGCGCCGGGTGGCTAAAGCACAGCAGGTTGGCACAGTAGGGGGCACAGGTGGTGCATCAGCCAGTCATCTCAGTCAGTCGCCCCGTGGCACCTGGGTCTGCCCTGTGACCTCCTGCCAGCGGGCGTTCGACACTTCACGTGGCCGCAAGGTGCACATGGCCTGGCACAAGCGTCGTGGTGACGTCACCGCCACTTAGTGGCGAATGGCGTTGTTGTGTGTGTACTATGTGTGTGTACTGTGTGTGTGTACTGTGTGTGTGTACTGTGTGTGTACTGTGTGTGTGTACTATGTGTATACTGTGTGTGTGTACTGTGTGTGTACTGTGTGTGTGTACTGTGTGTGTGTGTACTGTGTGTGTGTACTGTGTGTGTACTGTGTGTGTAGTGTGTGTACTGTGTGTGTACTGTGTGTGTGTACTATGTGTGTACTGTGTGTGTACTGTGTGTACTGTGTGTGTACTGTGTGTGTACTGTGTGTGTAGTGTGTGTACTGTGTGTGTGTGTACTATGTGTGTACTGTGTGTGTACTATGTGTTTGTACTGTGTGTGTAGTGTGTGTACTGTGTGTGTACTGTGTGTGTGTACTATGTGTGTACTGTGTGTGTGTACTATGTGTGTACTGTGTGTGTACTGTGTGTACTGTGTGTGTACTGTGTGTGTACTGTGTGTGTAGTGTGTGTACTGTGTGTGTACTATGTGTGTACTATGTGTGTACTGTGTGTGTATTGTGTGTGTGTACTATGTGTGTGTACTGTGTGTGTACTGTGTGTGTGTACTATGTGTGTGTACTGTGTGTGTACTGTGTGTGTGTACTATGTGTGTACTGTGTGTGTACTGTGTGTGTACTGTGTGTACTGTGTGTGTGTACTATGTGTGTACTGTGTGTGTACTATGTGTGTGTACTGTGTGTACTGTGTGTGTGTACTATGTGTGTACTGTGTGTGTACTGTGTGTGTACTGTGTGTGTACTGTGTGTGTACTGTGTGTACTATGTGTGTGTACTGTGTGTGTACTGTGTGTGTGTACTGTGTGTGTGTACTGTGTTTGTGGACTATCTGTGTGTGTGTGGACTATCTGTGTGTGTGTACTGTGTGTGTACTGTGTGTGTGTACTGTGTGTGTGTGGAATCTGTGTGTGTGTACTGTGTGTGTGTACTCTGTGCGTGTGGACTCTGTGTGTGTACTGTGTGTGTGTACTGTGTGTGTACTGTGTGTGTGTACTGTGTGTGTGTACTGTGTGTGTACTGTGTGTGTGTACTGTGTGTGTACTGTGTGTGTGTACTGTGTGTGTACTGTGTGTGTGTACTGTGTGTGTGTACTGTGTGTGTGTACTGTGTGTGTGTGTACTGTGTGTGTGTGTACTGTGTGTGTACTGTGTGTACTGTGTGTGTGTACTGTGTGTGTGTACTGTGTGTGTACTGTGTGTACTGTGTGTGTGTACTGTGTGTACTGTGTGTGTGTACTGTGTGTACTGTGTGTGTGTACTGTGTCTGTAGTGTGTGTGTGTGTACTGTGTGTGTAGTGTGTGTGTGTGTACTGTGTGTGTGTACTGTGTGTGTACTGTGTGTACTGTGTGCGTACTGTGTGTGTACTGTGTGTGTGTACTGTGTGTACTGTGTGTGTACTGTGTGTGTGTACTGTGTGTGTACTATGTGTGTACTGTGTGTGTGTACTGTGTGTAGTGTGTGTACTGTGTATGTGTGTACTGTGTGTAGTGTGTGTACTGTGTATGTGTGCACTGTGTGTACTGTGTGTACTATGTGTGTACTGTGTGTGTACTATGTGTGTACTGTGTGTGTGTACTGTGTGTACTGTGTGTGTACTATGTGTGTACTGTGTGTGTACTGTGTGTACTGTGTGTGTACTATGTGTGTACTGTGTACTGTGTGTGTACTGTGTGTGTGTGTACTGTGTGTGTACTATGTGTGTACTATGTGTACTGTGTGTACTGTGTGTGTACTGTGTGTGTGTACTGTGTGTGTGTACTGTGTATGTGTACTGTGTGTGTACTATGTGTGTACTGTGTGTGTACTATGTGTGTGTGTACTGTGTGTACTGTGTGTGTGTACTGTGTGTACTGTGTGTGTGTGTACTGTGTGTACTATGTGTGTACTATGTGTGTACTGTGTGTGTACTGTGTGTGTACTGTGTGTGTGTGTACTGTGTGTGTACTATGTGTGTCCTGTGTGTGTACTATGTGTGTACTGTGTGTGTTTACTGTGTGTATACTGTGTGTGTGTACTGTGTGTGTACTGTGTGTGTACTGTCTACTGTGTGTGTACTGTGTGTGTACTGTGTGTGTGTACTGTGTGTGTACTGTGTGTGTACTGTGTGTGTGTACTGTGTGTGTACTGTGTGTGTACTGTGTGTACTGTGTGTGTGTACTGTGTGTGTACTGTGTGTGTACTGTGTGTGTGTACTGTGTGTATACTGTGTGTGTGTACTGTGTGTGTACTGTGTGTGTACTGTGTGTGTACTGTGTATGTGTACTGTGTGTGTATGTGTACTGTGTGTGTGTGTGTACTGTGTGTGTGTACTGTGTGTGTGTACTGTGTGTGTGTACTGTGTGTGTACTGTGTGTAGTGTGTGTACTGTGTGTGTGTACTGTGTGTGTGTACTGTGTGTGTGTACTGTGTGTGTGTGTACTGTGTGTACTGTGTGTACTGTGTGTGTGTACTGTGTGTGTACTGTGTGTGTACTGTGTGTACTGTGTGTGTACTGTGTGTGTACTGTGTGTACTGTGTGTGTGTACTGTGTGTGTACTGTGTGTGTGTACTGTGTGTGTACTGTGTGTGTGTACTGTGTGTGTACTGTGTGTACTGTGTGTGTACTGTGTGTGTACTGTGTGTGTACTGTGTGTGTACTGTGTGTACTGTGTGTGTGTACTGTGTGTGTACTGTGTGTACTGTGTGTGTACTGTGTGTACTGTGTGTGTACTGTGTGTGTGTACTGTGTGTGTGTACTGTGTGTGTGTACTGTGTGTACTGTGTGTACTGTGTGTGTGTGTACTGTGTGTACTGTGTGTGTACTGTGTGTGTACTATGTGTACTGTGTGTGTACTATGTGTGTACTGTGTGTGTACTATGTGTGTACTGTGTGTGTACTATGTGTGTACTGTGTGTGTACTATGTGTGTACTGTGTGTACTCTGTGTGTACTCTGTGTGTACTCTGTGTGTACTGTGTGTACTGTGTGTGTACTGTGTGTGTACTGTGTGTGTACTGTGTGTGTGTGTACTGTATATGTGTACTGTGTGTGTACTGTGTGTGTGTACTGTGTGTGTGTGTACTGTGTGTACTGTGTGTGTACTGTGTGTACTGTGTGTGTGTGTGTGTACTGTGCGTGTACTTTGTGTGTACTGTGTGTACTATGTGTACTGTGTGTGTACTATGTGTGTACTGTGTGTGTGTACTGTATATGTGTACTGTGTGTGTACTGTGTGTGTGTACTGTATATGTGTACTGTGTGTACTCCACCCCCCCACACTCACTTGCAGCTGTAGACCTCTGGCCGCCTACGATGAGCGTGTGGACTCTGCGAGTCCCAGGCCTGGCAGGTCCGGCCCGACACGGTGACCGAGACGGTGCCCCGGTAGCCCTCCCCTTGACCTTTCACGCAGGTCAAGGTGACCTCCAGGTCGGGGTTTGTGGGGGGCGACCCCTCTGGGTGAGAGAAACAACGGAAACCGGGGGGGCGGGGTGATGGTGATGCTGGTGGCCGGGGACTGGCACCTCAAGCTCGGGGCCACCCCCACCATTTTTGTCAAACTCAATTGGGGGGACCCCCCACAAATTCTGACCAGGGGGCAGCTCCAATCGCGATGTGTTTTGTCGTAATTTGTTTTGTTGAATGAAAATGTATTTTTGCTTGTTCCTTGGTAGAAAAATTTCAGAAAAAATTACAAATAATAATAGTAAAATAACAATGTTATTTCTTTTTTCTCTAATAATAATTAAATTTTTCTTCCGACGTGACTTTACCGAGGGAAAAATAATATTAGTTTTCACTCAGGCAGGTAGAAAAATATTTTACCGAAAGAAACAAAAGAGTATATGGATTCCTGCAGTCACCGAAAGCTTCAAGTGAAAATGTATTTTGACACTAATGATATTTCATTAGACATCCCTTGCCAGTATTAAATCGTGACGATAGGGTTTTTTTTTCCTGCAGTCACGACAGTTTCAAGTCAAAATGTAACCCTCCTGTTGCGAATAATATTGGTGATAATAGGTTGTTTTTTTTCACTTCCCTGGCAACAAAAACAGGTGCGTGAAGATGTTAAAGCACCATTCGAGACAACCCGGCCATTGCTCGGCTATTCGCGAGCTTGGAGAGCACACGGACTCCTCCAGTACTCGTCAACATTCGACCCACGAACTTTCAGAGATGCGAACCAACCTGGTCCCTACGTCTAGTTTCGGCTATTCGGACCGAGAGAGTCGTGAGTTCGTCCACAACGCAATAGATGGTGGTGGTGGCATCTACATCTGCAGAACGTGAAGAACCAGTGGCATCTACATCTGCAGAACGCGAAGAACCAGTGGCATCTACATCTGCAGAACGTTAAGAACCAGTGGCATCTACATCTGTAGAACGTGAAGAACCAGTGGCATCTACATCTGCAGAACGCAAAGAACCGGTGGCATCTACATCTGCAGAACGTGAAGAACCAGTGGCATCTACATCTGTAGAGCGTGAAGAACCAGTGGCATCTACATCTGCAGAACGCGAAGAACCAGTGACATCTACATCTGCAGAACGCGAAGAACCAGTGGCATCTACATCTGCAGAACGTGAAGAACCAGTGGCATCTACATCTGCAGAACGTGAATAACCAGTGGCATCTACATCTGCAGAACGTGAAGAAGCAGTGGCATCTGCAGAGAGTGAAGAACCAGTGGCATCTAAATCTGCAGAACGCGAAGAACCAGTGACATCTACATATGCAGAACGCGAAGAACCAGTGGCATCTGCAGAGCGTGAAAAACCAGTGGCATCTACATCTGCAGAACGTGAAGAACCAGTGGCATCTACATCTGTAGAGCGTGAAGAACCAGTGGCATCTACATCTGCAGAACGCGAAGAACCAGTGACATCTACATCTGCAGAACGCGAAGAACCAGTGGCATCTACATCTGCAGAACGTGAAGAACCAGTGGCATCTACATCTGCAGAACGTGAATAACCAGTGGCATCTACATCTGCAGAACGTGAAGAAGCAGTGGCATCTGCAGAGAGTGAAGAACCAGTGGCATCTAAATCTGCAGAACGTGAATAACCAGTGGCATCTACATCTGCAGAACGTGAAGAACCAGTGGCATCTGCAGAGAGTGAAGAACCAGTGGCATCTACATCTGCAGAACGTGAAGAACCAGTGGCATCTACATCTGCAGAACGTGAAGAACCAGTGGCTTCTACATCTGTAGAACGTAAAGAACCAGTGGCATCTACATCTGTAGAACGTGAAGAACCAGTGGCATCTATATCTGCAGAACGCGAAGAACCAGTGGCATCTACATCTGTAGAACGTGAAGAACCAGTGGCATCTATATCTGCAGAACGCGAAGAACCAGTGGCTTCTACATCTGTAGAACGTAAAGAACCAGTGGCATCTATATCTGCAGAACGCGAAGAACCAGTGGCATCTACCTCTGCAGAACGTGAAGAACCAGTGTCTTCTACATCTACAGAACGTGAAGAACCAGTGGCATCTACATCTGTAGAACGTGAAGAACCAGTGGCATCTACATCTGTAGAACGTCAAGAACCAGTGGCATCTACATCTGCAGAACGTGAAGAACCAGTGGCATCTGCAGAGCATGATGAACAAGTGACATCTACATCTGCAGAACGTGAAGAACCAGTGGCATCTGCAGAGAGTGAAGAACCAGTGGCATCTAAATCTGCAGAACGCGAAGAACCAGTGACATCTACATATGCAGAACGCGAAGAACCAGTGGCATCTACATCTGCAGAACGTGAAGAACCAGTGGCATCTACATCTGCAGAACGTGAAGAACCAGTGGCATCTACATCTGCAGAACGTGAAGAACCAGTGGCTTCTACATCTGTAGAACGTAAAGAACCAGTGGCATCTACATCTGTAGAACGTGAAGAACCAGTGGCATCTATATCTGCAGAACGCGAAGAACCAGTGGCATCTACCTCTGCAGAACGTGAAGAACCAGTGTCATCTACATCTACAGAACGTGAAGAACCAGTGGCATCTACATCTGTAGAACGTGAAGAACCAGTGGCATCTACATCTGTAGAACGTCAAGAACCAGTGGCATCTACATCTGCAGAACGTGAAGAACCAGTGGCATCTGCAGAGCATGAAGAACAAGTGACATCTACATCTGCAGAACGCGAAGAACCAGTGACATCTACATATGCAGAACGCGAAGAACCAGTGGCATCTACATCTGCAGAACGTGAAGAACCAGTGGCATCTACATCTGCAGAACGTGAAGAACCAGTGGCATCTACATCTGCAGAACGTGAAGAACCAGTGGCATCTACATCTGCAGAACGTGAAGAACCAGTGGCATCTACATCTGCAGAACGTGAAGAACCAGTGGCATCTACATCTGCAGAACGTGAAGAACCAGTGGCTTCTACATCTGTAGAACGTGAAGAACCAGTGGCATCTATATCTGTAGAACGTGAGGAACCAGTGGCATCTACATCTGCAGAACGCGAAGAACCAGTGGCATCTACATCTGCAGAACGTGAAGAACCAGTGGCATCTACATCTGCAGAACGTGAAGAACCAGTGGCATCTACATCTGCAGAACGTGAAGAACCAGTGGCATCTACATCTGCAGAACGTGAAGAACCAGTGGCATCTACATCTGCAGAACGTGAAGAACCAGTGGCATCTACATCTGCAGAACGTGAAGAACCAGTGGCTTCTACATCTGTAGAACGTGAAGAACCAGTGGCATCTATATCTGTAGAACGTGAAGAACCAGTGGCATCTACATCTGCAGAACGCGAAGAACCAGTGGCATCTACCTCTGCAGAACGTGAATAACCAGTGTCATCTACATCTACAGAACGTGAAGAACCAGTGGCATCTACATCTGTAGAACGTGAAGAACCAGTGGCATCTACATCTGTAGAACGTCAAGAACCAGTGGCATCTACCTCTGCAGAACGTGAAGAACCAGTGTCATCTACATCTACAGAACGTGAAGAACCAGTGGCATCTACATCTGTAGAACGTGAAGAACCAGTGGCATCTACATCTGTAGAACGTCAAGAACCAGTGGCATCTACATCTGCAGAACGTGAAGAACCAGTGACATCTACATATGCAGAACGCGAAGAACCAGTGGCTTCTACATCTGTAGAACGTGAAGAACCAGTGGCATCTATATCTGTAGAACGTGAGGAACCAGTGGCATCTACATCTGCAGAACTTGAAGAACCAGTGGCATCTGCAGAGAGTGAAGAACCAGTGGCATCTAAATCTGCAGAACGCGAAGAACCAGTGACATCTACATATGCAGAACGCGAAGAACCAGTGGCATCTACATCTGCAGAACGTGAAGAACCAGTGGCATCTACATCTGCAGAACGTGAAGAACCAGTGGCATCTACATCTGCAGAACGTGAAGAACCAGTGGCATCTACATCTGCAGAACGTGAAGAACCAGTGGCATCTACATCTGCAGAACGTGAAGAACCAGTGGCTTCTACATCTGTAGAACGTGAAGAACCAGTGGCATCTATATCTGTAGAACGTGAGGAACCAGTGGCATCTACATCTGCAGAACGCGAAGAACCAGTGGCATCTACATCTGCAGAACGTGAAGAACCAGTGGCATCTACATCTGCAGAACGTGAAGAACCAGTGGCATCTACATCTGCAGAACGTGAAGAACCAGTGGCATCTACATCTGCAGAACGTGAAGAACCAGTGGCATCTACATCTGCAGAACGTGAAGAACCAGTGGGATCTACATCTGTAGAACGTGAAGAACTAGTGGCATCTACATCTGTAGAACGTCAAGAACCAGTGGCATCTACATCTGCAGAACGTGAAGAACCAGTGTCATCTACATCTGTAGAACGTGAAGAACCAGTGGCATCTACATCTGTAGAACGTCAAGAACCAGTGGCATCTACATCTGCAGAACGTGAAGAACCAGTGGCATCTGCAGACAGTGAAGAACCAGTGGCATCTAAATCTGCAGAACGCGAAGAACCAGTGACATCTACATATGCAGAACGCGAAGAACCAGTGGCATCTACATCTGCAGAACGTGAATAACCAGTGGCATCTACATCTGCAGAACGTGAAGAACCAGTGGCATGTACATCTGCAGAACGTGAGGAACCAGTGGCATCTACATCTGCAGAACGTGAAGAACCAGTGGCATCTACATCTGCAGAACGTGAAGAACCAGTAACATCTACATCTACAGAACGTGAAGAACCAGTGGCTTCTACATCTGTAGAACGTGAAGAACCAGTGGCATCTATATCTGTAGAACGTGAAAAATCAGTGGCATCTACATCTGCAGAACGCGAAGAACCAGTGGCATCTACATCTGCAGAACGTGAAGAACCAGTGGCATCTACACCTGCAGAACGCGAAGAACCAGTGGCATCTACATCTCTACAACATTAAGAACCAGTGGCATCTACATCTGTAGAGCGTGAAGAACCAGTGGCATCTACATCTGTAGAGGATAGTTGATTGGGTGGTTTGGTGGGGGGGGGTGGGTGGGTGGTTTGGTGGAGGGGTGGGTGGGTGTTTGGCTGGTTGGGTTAGTGGTTGGGTGGGTTGGTGTTTGGTTGGTGGGTGGTTGGGTGGGTGGTTGGGTTGGTGGTTGGGTTGGTGGGTGGGTGGGTGTTTGGCTGGGTTGGGTGGGTGGTTGAATGTTTGGCTGGTTGGGTTGGTGGGTGGTTGGGTGGTTGAATGTTTGGCTGGTTGGGTTGGGTGGGTGTTTGGCTGGTTGGGTTGGGTGGGTGGTTGAATGTGTGGCTGGGTAGTTGGGTGGCTGGGCAGCTGAACGTGTGGGTGCTCTGCGTGGCTCTGCCCGCTCACCGCACTTGGCCACGGCGCAGTACTCCCACCGCTTTTCCGGGTCCGTGGTGTAGCACCAGGGTCTGGGCTCCCCGTCTGGGTTGCGGCAGTAGTTGTTCACCAGGCCACGCTCGGGAAAACTGTCTCGCAAACGCAGCGAGCCGGAGCCACGCTCCATACACTGCTGGATGGGTGTGCCGCCTCTCACAGCCCCCCGCGGCTGGGAGCGTGCGTGCCTCATGCACTACTGTGCTATACACTACTCTATACACTACACTACTATACACTACACTATACACTACACTACAATACTATACACTACACTATACACTACTCTACTATACACTACACTACTATACACTACTATACACTACACTATACACTACTCTATACACTACACTACTATACACTACTCTGTACACTACACTACACTACTATACACTACACTACACACTACTCTACTATACACTACATTATACACTACTCTACTAAACACTACACTATACAATACACTACTATACACTACACTATACACTACTCTACTATACACTACACTACTATACACTACACTATTCACTACACTATACACTACACTACTATACACTACTCTACTATACACTACACTATACACTACACTACTATACATTACTTTGCTATACAGTACTGTACTGTGTGGCTGGTAGCTGTGTCTGTGTGTGTGTGAGTGAGTACCTGTGTGAGTACCTGTGTCTGTGTGTGTGAGTGAGTAACTGTGTCTGTGTGTGAGTGAGTGTGAGTACCTGTGTGAGTACCTGTGTCTGTGTGTGTGTGAGTGAGTACCTGTGTCTGTGTGTGTGAGTGAGTAACTGTGTCTGTGTGTGAGTGAGTACCTGTGTGAGTACCTGTGTCTGTGTGTGTGTGAGTGAGTACCTGTGTGGCTGGTAGCTGTGTGTGTGTGAGTGAGTACCTGTGTCTGTGTGTGTGTGAGTGAGTACCTGTGTCTGTGTGTGTGTGAGTGAGTACCTGTGTCTGTGTGTGAGTGAGTACCTGTGTGGCTGGTAGCTGTGTGTGTGTGAGTGAGTACCTGTGTCTGTGTGTGTGTGAGTGAGTACCTGTGTCTGTGTGTGTGTGAGTGAGTACCTGTGTCTGTGTGTGAGTGAGTACCTGTGTGAGTACCTGTGTCTGTGTGTGTGTGAGTGAGTACCTGTGACTGTGCGTGAGTGAGTGTGAGTACCTGTGTTTCTGGTAGCTGTGTCTGTGTGTGTGAGAGTGAGTACCTGTGTAAGTACCTGTGTCTGTGTGTGTGAGTGAGTACCTGTGTGAGTACCTCTGTCTGTGTGTGAGTAAGTACCTGTGTGGCTGGTAGCTGTGTCTGTGTGTGTGTGAGTACCTGTGTAAGTACCTGTGTCTGTGTGTGTGTGAGTGAGTACCTGTGTGAGTACCTGTGTCTGTGCGTGAGCGAGTGTGAGTACCTGTGTGGCTGGTAGCTGTGTCTGTGTGTGTGAGTACCTGTGTCTGTGTGTGTGTGAGTGAGTACGTGTGTGAGTACCTGTGTCTGTGTCTGTGTGTGAGTACCTGTGTCTGTGTGTGTGAGTGAGTACCTGTGTGTGTGTGTGTGAGTGAGTACCTGTGTGAGTACCTGTGTCTGTGTGTGAGCGAGTGTGAGTACCCGTGTGACTGGTAGCTGTGTCTGTGTGTGTGAGTACCTGTGTCTGTGTGAGTACCTGTGTCTGTGTCTGTGTGTGTGTGAGTGAGTACCTGTGTGAGTACCTGTGTCTGTGTGTGTGAGTGAGTACCTGTGTGAGTGTCTGTGTCTGCGTGTGTGTGAGTGAGTACCTGTGTGAGTACCTGTGTGGCTGTGTGTGTGTGAGTACCTGTGTGAGTACCTGTGTCTGTGTGTGTGAGTGAGTACCTGTGTCTGTGTGTGAGTATCTGTGTCTGTGTGTGTGTGAGTACCTGTGTGGCTGGTAGCTGTGTCTGTGTGTGTGTGAGTACCTGAGTGAGTACCTGTGTCTGTGTGTGTGTGAGTACCTGTGTGAGTACTTGTGTCTGTGTCTGTGTGTGTGAGTGAGTACCTGTGTCTGTGTGTGTGTGAGTACCTGTGTGAGTACCTGTGTCTGTGTGTGTGAGTGAGTACCTGTGTGGCTGGTAGCTGTGTCTGTGAGGTTCCAGCTGGTCCCAGCGTTGACACTCCCTCCCCGTCTCCGTGCGGGACGTCTTACCCCGATAGTCTTCTCCAATGCACGTGTAGCAGTCGCCTGCACAACAACAACAACGACAACAACAACAACAATATTCTTTGGTTCTTTCGCTAAAATCACGTAGGCATGAAATGAAATAAATCCCGACGTTTCGGGCGCAACACAAGCGTCCATCATCAGGTGGGGAAAGCCGTGGCCTGCTGCTGAGGCTGACTTTTAGAATGTTTGAAATGGGTCTAGCCCAAGGGTCATAAAGAAGTGGCCGGGGCTAGTGATGTTAATGTGAGACATTAGCGTGATGTTAATGTGAGAAATTAGCGTGATGTTAATGTGAGAAATTAGCGTGATGTTAATGTGAGATATTAGCGTGATGTTAATGTGAGATATTAGCGTGATGTTAATGTGAGATATTAGCGTGATGTTAATGTGATACATTAGCGTGATGTAAATGTGAAACATTATTGTGATGTTAATGTGAGACATTAGCGTGATGTTAATGTGAGAAATTAGCGTGATGTTAATGTGAGATATTAGCGTGATGTTAATGTGAGATATTAGCGTGATGTTAATGTGAGATATTAGCGTGATGTTAATGTGATACATTAGCGTGATGTAAATGTGAAACATTATTGTGATGTTAATGTGAGAGATTAGCATGATGTTAATGTGAGACATTAGTGTGATGTTAATGTGAGAAATTAGCGTGATGTTAATGTGATACATTATTGTTATGTTAATGTGATAAATTAGCGTGATGTTAATGTGAGACATTAGCGTGATGTTAATGTGAGACATTATTGTTATGTTAATGTGATAAATTAGCATGATATTAATGTGATAAATTAGCGTGATGTTAATGTGAGAGATTATCGTGATGTTAATGTGATAAATTAGCGTGATGTTAATGTGATACATTAGAGTGATGTTAATGTGAGACATTAGCGTGATGTTAATGTGAGACATTAGCGTGATGTTAATGTTAGACATTAGTGTGATGTTAATGTGAGACATTAGCGTGATGTTAATGTGAGAGATTAGCGTGATGTTAATGTGAGAGTTTAGCGTGATGTTAACGTGAGACATTAGCGTGATGTTAATGTGAGACATTAGCGTGATGTTAATGTGAGAAATTAGCGTGATGTTAATGTGATAAATTAGCGTGATGTTAACGTGACAGATTAGCGTGATGTTAATGTGAGAGATTAGCGTGATGTTAACGTGAGACATTAACGTGATGTTAATGTGAGACATTAGCATGATGTTAATGTGAGACATTAGCGTGATGTTAATGTGATAAATTAGCGTGATGTTAATGTGAGAAATTAGCGTGATGGTAATGTGAGACATTATTGTGATGTTAATGTGAGACATTAACGTGATGTTAATGTGAGACATTAGCGTGACGTTAATGTGAGACATTAGCGTGATGTGAATGTGAGACTTTAGCGTGATGTTAATGTGAGACATTAGTGTGATGTTAATGTGAGAGATTAGCGTGATGTTAATGTGAGAGATTAGCATGATGTTAATGTGAGACATTAACGTGACGTTAACGTGAGACATTAGCGTGATGTTAATGTGAGACATTATGCTGATGTTAATGTGAGACATTAGCGTGATGTTAATGTGAGACTTTAGCGTGACGTTAATGTGAGAAATTAGCGTGGTGTTAATGTGAGAGATTATCATGATGTTAATGTGAGAAATTAGCGTGATGTTAATGTGATACATTAGTGTGATGTTAATGTGAGACATTAGCGTGATGTTAATGTGAGAGATTAGCGTGATGTTAATGTGAGAGTTTAGCGTGATGTTAATGTGAGAGATTAGCATGATGTTAATGTGAGACATTAGCGTGATGTTAATGTGAGAGATTAGCGTGATGTTAATGTGAGAGTTTAGCGTGATGTTAATGTGAGAGATTAGCATGATGTTAATGTGAGAAATTAGCGTGGTGTTAATGTGAGAGATTATCATGATGTAAATGTGCGAAATTAGCGTGATGGCAGTGACAGAAATTAGCATCTAACTGTAGAAAAGAAGAAGAGCAGCCTCCTGGACGAGGGAGTGCAACACAACAGGTTTAATCCTAAGGGCCTGTGAGTATGAGAGTCTAATCCTAAGACATGTGAGTATGAGAGTGTAATCCTAAGACTTGTGAGTATGAGAGTCTAATCCTAAGACATGTGAGTATGAGAGTCTAATCCTAAGACATGTGAGTATGAGAGTGTAATCCTAAGACTTGTGAGTATGAGAGTCTAATCCTAAGACTTGTGAGTATGAGAGTCTAATCATGTGAGCATGAGAGTGTAATCCTAAGACATGTGAGTATGAGAGTGTAATCCTAGTGACATGTGAGTATGAGAGTGTAATCCTAAGACATGTGAGCATGAGAGTCTAATCCTAAGACATGTGAGCATGAGATTACAATCCTAAGACATGTGAGTATGAGAGTGTAATCCTAAGACATGTGAGTATGAGATTGTAATCCTAAGACATGTGAGCATGAGAGTGTAATCCTAAGACATGTGAGTATGAGAGTGTAATCCTAAGACAAGTGAGTATGAGAGTGTAATCCTAAGACATGTGAGTATGAGAGTGTAACCCTAAGACATGTGAGCATGAGAGTGTAATCCTAAGACATGTGAGTATGAGAGTGTAACCCTAAGACATGTGAGCATGAGAGTCTAATCCTAAGACATGTGAGCATGAGAGTCTAATCCTAAGACATGTGAGTAAGAGAGTGTAATCCTAAGACATGTGAGTATGAGAGTGTAATCCTAAGACATGTGAGTATGAGAGTCTAATCCTAAGACATGTGAGTATGAGAGTTTAATCCTAAGACATGTGAGTATGAGAGTCTAATCCTAAGACATGTGAGTATGAGAGTCTAATCCTAAGACTTGTGAGTATGAGAGTCTAATCATGTGAGCATGAGAGTGTAATCCTAAGACATGTGAGTATGAGAGTGTAATCCTAGTGACATGTGAGTATGAGAGTGTAATCCTAAGACATGTGAGCATGAGAGTCTAATCCTAAGACATGTGAGCATGAGATTACAATCCTAAGACATGTGAGTATGAGAGTGTAATCCTAAGACATGTGAGTATGAGATTGTAATCCTAAGACATGTGAGCATGAGAGTGTAATCCTAAGACATGTGAGTATGAGAGTGTAATCCTAAGACAAGTGAGTATGAGAGTGTAATCCTAAGACATGTGAGTATGAGAGTGTAACCCTAAGACATGTGAGCATGAGAGTGTAATCCTAAGACATGTGAGTATGAGAGTGTAACCCTAAGACATGTGAGCATGAGAGTCTAATCCTAAGACATGTGAGCATGAGAGTCTAATCCTAAGACATGTGAGTATGAGAGTGTAACCCTAAGACATGTGAGCATGAGAGTGTAATCCTAAGACATGTGAGTATGAGAGTCTAATCCTAAGACATGTGAGCATGAGATTACAATCCTAAGACATGTGAGTATTGAGATTACAATCCTAAGACATGTGAGTATGAGAGTGTAATCCTAAGACAGGTGAGTATTAGAGTGTAACCCTAAGACATGTGAGTATGAGAGTCTAATCCTAAGACATGTGAGTATGAGAGTGAAATCCTAAGACATGTGAGCATGAGAGTGTAATCCTAAGACATGTGAGTATGAGAGTGTAATCCTAAGACTTGTGAGTATGAGAGTCTAATCCTAAGACATGTGAGTATGAGGGTGTAATCCTAAGACATGTGAGTATGAGAGTCTAATCCTAAGACATGTGAGTATGAGAGTCTAATCCTAAGACATGTGAGTATGAGAGTGTAATCCTAAGACATGTGAGTATGAGAGTCTAATCCTAAGACATGTGAGCATGAGAGTCTAATCCTAAGACATGTGAGTATGAGAGTCTAATCCTAAGACATGTGAGTATGAGAGTCTAATCCTAAGACATGTGAGTATGAGAGTGTAATCCTAAGACATGTGAGTATGAGAGTGTAACCCTAAGACATGTGAGTATGAGGGTGTAATCCTAAGACATGTGAGTATGAGAGTGTAACCCTAAGACATGTGAGTATGAGAGTCTAATCCTCAGACATGTGAGTATGAGAGTCTAATCCTAAGACATGTGAGTATGAGAGTCTAATCCTAAGACATGTGAGTATGGGAGTCTAATCCTAAGACATGTGAGTATGAGAGTCTAATCCTAAGACATGTGAGTTTGAGAGTGTAATCCTAAGACATGTGAGTATGAGATTACAATCCTAAGACATGTGAGTATGAGAGTCTAATCCTAAGACATGTGAGCATGAGAGTCTAATCCTAAGACATGTGAGTATGAGAGTGTAATCCTAAGACATGTGAGTATGACAGTGTAATCCTAAGACATGTGAGTATGAGAGTCTAATCCTAAGACATGTGAGCATGAGATTGTAATCCTAAGACATGTGAGTATGAGAGTGTAATCCTAAGACATGTGAGCATGAGCGGGTAATCCTAAGACATGTGAGTATGAGAGTCTAATCCTAAGACATGTGAGTATGAGAGTGTAATCCTAGTGACATGTGAGTATGAGATTACAATCCTAAGACATGTGATTATGAGAGTGTAATCCTAAGACATGTGAGTATGAGAGTCTAATCCTAAGACATGTGATTATGAGAGTGTAATCCTAAGACATGTGAGTATGAGAGTGTAATCCTAAGACATGTGAGTATGAGAGTCTAATCCTAAGACATGTGAGTATGAGAGTGTAATCCTAAGACATGTGAGTATGAGAGTCTAATCCTAAGACATGTGAGTATGAGAGTGTAATCCTAAGACATGTGAGTATGAGGGTGTAATCCTAAGACATGTGAGTATGAGAGTCTAATCCTAAGACATGTGAGTATGAGAGTGTAACCCTAAGACATGTGAGTATGAGAGTCTAATCCTAAGACATGTGAGTATGAGAGTCTAATCCTAAGACATGTGAGTATGAGAGTCTAATCCTAAGACTTGTGAGTATGAGAGTGTAATCCTAAGACATGTGAGTATGAGAGTGTAATCCTAAGACATGTGAGTATGAGAGTCTA